CGCTCCACGACCAGCTTCAGGAACTGGTGCTGCTCGGCGTTGAGGCTGCTTGCGATTTCCTCGCTGTTGAGCCACCTGCGCAGCAGAGCTTCGCTCACGAGTCTCATCGGCCTGGCCGCGGGTCCGCGGCTGCAGCCATCCAGTCCGGACCTCGCTTCGGCCAGTTCGGCGCCCCTCTGGTTGCGCGAAGCTCGTGCGGCCAGCAGCATCTTTTCTGGGTCCGTGACTCCCTTGCTGAAGACCATCCTCGAGAGCAGGGCCTGTGCTGAACGCTGCGGCGCGGCTGCTGGGGTGGGTCGTTCCTTCAGCCAGATGTCTCTGGACAGCTTCATCATCCGGATAGTGAGGTCGTGCTGGGTTCTCGAGGGTGGACAAGAGCATGGCCAGCTTATTCTTCCACCTGGTTAACTCACCCATTGGGAGTGGTGGTGGCATGGAGCTGGAGCTGGCTGCGCCTGGGTTGGCTGCAGTGGGGCCGGCCTTGGGCGCTTTTGGGGCCTGCATGTGGGCAAACGCGCCTGGTATGTGACTGCTGGTGGTCTTGGCTGCAGTGGGCCTTCTTGCAAGCAAGCTTGGCTTGGCAGCTGGCCTGGGAGGGCTGGAGCCTGGAGGGCTAGCTGGCTTGGGTGCCTGCGCAGGGCTTGGAGTGGTTGGAGCTGGATATGCTGGATTTGGCTGCGGCGGCAGTCCCAATGGGATGCAGCATTGGTGGGCCTAGCAAGAACCTTGGATCCATGGGCAGGGGCGCCATGGGCAGTGGTGGCATGGGAAGTGGCGCCTGGAAAGGTGCCATGGGTACACCCAATGGACATGGCCTTGGCATCCATGGAGCTGGCTGTGGTCCAAATCCTGGCGCTGCTTGGTGTGCTGGCATTTGGGGCGCAGCCGGAGCTCTGGGCGCTGGCCTGGGCATTGGTGGTGCTTTGGGTGGCGTCTTCGGCGCTGGCGGACCTGGCTTGGGCAAGTCCTCCTCTGAGGAGCTGGGCTCCTTGTGTGGCAGAGGTGTGGGGAATTTGCCTTTCAAAGGCAGCTTGGGCTTGGGACGCCTGGGCGGCGTGGCAGGGGATGGCGATCTGGTGGGGGGCGGCTGGAATGGATCATACTCTGTGGAGGCCGCTGGGCTATGGACATCATCCAAATTGGCGATGTCATTTATGGGAGCACCGCCATGGGCCATATGTGCTGGATGTGCTTGGTCCAGGTTGGTGGGTGCTTCTGTGGCATTGAATGCCGTGGTGGCGGAAAGCGTGGTTTCGGAGCTGGAGGAGTGGACATCTGTCATGGCGGAACTGGAAAATTAATCTGTTAGTGAATAAATTACGTAAGTTCATGGATTTTTCAATTCAGATTCTGAATTTAGATGCAACTATTTTGCATTTCAATTCAGATTCTGAATTGACATGTCAAATATTTGCATTTCAATTCAGAATCTGAATTCAATTTTTAAACCTTTTTTTTGATGAATTAGTTCTGGTACTAAGTTGTTGGTTAATTTAATATAATTTCTTAACTTAAAATGTTCTGTGATAACACTGTTTGGGAAAGGAATTGTGTGGCTGAGTCATGTGAAGTCATGTCTGCTGGCCGGATTTCGTGCTTGCTGCATGGCTGTAGGTTGTGGAATGCCTGCAGGTTGAATATAGTTGT